CAAATTTACAAGAAGAACACAGTAGGCTTTTAGGGCATAATATCAGCAATGATTTTGGGTCATATTATTTGTTTGTTCGAAAAAATTATTTTTTTTCAATATGAATCTAAATTTTCTCAAGAATGTATCATTAAAATTTCAAGTACAAATCTCAACAACCGATTTATTGTGTCAGCATCAAGCCACGGCAAGAGAGCCTCTCAAACTGTAAAAGCGTTTTTCTCGAAAAAGTGTTTTTAAAATTGGCGGGCACGTTAGTTCAAAAACTATTAATAGAATCGGTTCCAAATGGGTAATTTTCAAAAAAAAAATCCCTATGCCCGCCATTTTTCTAATTTTCGAGCAACGTCAATAATTCTAGTTCATACCAGAGCCAGATATGTAGTCGTTCTAATTGCTTTTTAATTTTAAGATTCGGATGTTTCAATAATCGTGAAGGGGGAAAGTATCCTTGATCAGAAAAAAATTTTGTGTCGATTTAGCCATAGATATCGCTGCAGTAGCCATAGATATCGCTCAGTATTCTTCTGAATCATTATGCTTCTTATATCTTGCATCGAAATAGTTCAAATGGCTGTGACAAATTGGCTCTATGTAAAACAGGGGCTGAGCTCAAGTGAGACTTCAAAATCCCAAAAGCTTTTTGGACTTATTCGATCCATACAAATCTCTTTTTACCTTGCAATAAATCCGTTATAGGCATGATAATTGAATCAGTTTCAAATAACCGATTCACGAATTTTCCTTGCTATAGTTCTCAAAACTTCCAAAAACCAATCGAAAGACTCAGATATGATCAGAAGATCGTCGAGACAGATAAAGACCGATATGGCTGTACTTTGGCAGTCTGGGTTTTTTGTGGGTAAGAAAAATGCAAATGCTTTAAGGGAACCCCCCCCATTCTCGATTTTAATTTTTCAAGATTTTCAATGGGCTGGTAAATGAATACAAATGCTTGTTAAGGTTTGTAACTTTGCACATATATAATTGAAGATTTAAAAGAGAAGAAAAATAATTTACAAAAAAATTTTGTTATTGTATTGTTGTTTTTTTTTTTTTTTTTTTTTTGTAATTAAAGAAAAGTCCTTATCGCCAATTTTTGACCAAAACCCAAGTTAAAAATAAGGAAGATCTTCACCGATTGGCTTTATCCTAGTTCATACGAGAGCTATACACTCCCAGAGAAACGCTGCAAAATTTGGAACCGATTGGATTATTAGTTTTTGAGTCATCGTGCCCGCCATTCGCAAAAGAGAAAAACGCGTTTAAAGTTTGAGAAGCCCTTCAGCCGTCACTTGATGCGGACACAATAAAACGGCTATATCTTCAAGAGTTCTTGAGATTTGCACTTGAAATTTTGTAGAGACATTCTTTAATCAGTGTAGATTCGAATTATATCAACAAAAATTTTGACCCCGAAAATGGGGGGGGGTCCCCTTAAGGATTTTTGAAGGTCTTGGGCGCATTTCCAACCGAAGTGGCTGTAATATGGCATTATGGATGCTTGTTGGATAAACGACATTTTCGCAGATTATATTAAAAGTATGCCCATCTTTTGACATAGGTCATAAATTTGAAATGGTAATTTCGTAGTTTTAGACACAAGCAACCCCAGAAAATACCGCCTCCCTGTTCGGTATGTTGAAAGTCCTTACTGAGTTTTTCTATCGGTAATATGGTACTTCGTTTTCTTAGAGGATAAAAACTCTAATTTATTTGATTCAAGAACGAACCCTACTGAAATTTGTGAAAATCGATTCAAAAGAAGACCAATTGCACTAAAATTTTGCATAGATAGGAAATTATACACTCAATTCCCTGAATGAAGTGAGTCAAGTTGACTTAAAATCGGTTCAGATCCAAATATACAGTGAGTGTAATAAGTATTTTGCCTCAATACAAATTTCACAAAATTCCAATATATACGCCTAAAGCCAGCACACTAAATATGTAAAATGAATTATGTATGATGGGATATGTTTGTGGACATATTTAGATCTTATTTCTGCAAGAATCACTGCTAAAGACCTATTGGTCTAGAAGATATCGGCCAAAATCTATACCAACCCAAAAATGATTATCACAAAAAAGTATTTTGCTTTTTATTATTATTTTTGAAAAAATCATTATATAACATACGCTTTGCCTTTTTATAGTTACCATTGCCCGTAACCACATATTAAAAGCGATTTAGCGACGATTCCAATAAACCACGGCATTTTTTTCGCGAATATATTCTCACATTTACGTTCAATACATTCTCCAGCAATATTTCATTTAATATTTGGTAATTTCTCGTCCTAATTTCAAAATGAAAGTATTAAATATAGTCGTCGCGGCTTCAAAACATCCCAACTAAGTTTAGAATAATAAAAAGGAGGTTTTGCGAAATATATCGCGAGGACAGGACCTTAAAAACTATTAAAACCAAAATCCGATAAACAAATTATTTAAAAAAATATCGCGAAACCCCATTTTTCTGACTTTAAAAACTTTACTTTTTACAAAAATAATAATAAAAAGAAAAATACTTTTTTGTGATAATCATTTTTGGGTTGGTATAGATTTTCGCCGATAACTTCTAGACCAATAGGTCTATCGCAGTGATTCTTGCAGAAATAAGATCTAAATATGTCCACAAACATATCCCATCATACATAATTCATTTTACATCATTACTATGCTGGCTTTAGGCGTATATATTGGAATTTTGTAAAATTTGTATTGAGGCAAAATACTTATTACACTCACTGTATTTCCTTCTCAATTTTCGGCATGTTGGAGGTCTTAACTAAGTTACTGGTTTTGTTTTGTCTTTAAAAATAATCATTTTATTTGGTTCGAAATTACATATATAAGATCAAACGAGTTTCTATAGACGAAAATGCGAACACCGCTAGAAAATATAGCCTTAAAAGTCAAACATTGATTCGCATATTAAAACAAAATAGAACATTTAGAGGAGCTGAATTCCAATTACACTGATTGGAATGATAATTACCAGGCTATGTCCATGGGTGCCGAATGTGCCGTACCCTGGATAGGGGCACAACTGCAATTTAATACCGTGGTTCATTTGTAGTTATCCAAATATAGCACTGTAATTCATTTTAAAAAGGGACTACCATGCGGTTTTTTGTTTTAAATTAAAATCCAAGTTTAAAATCCAAGTGGGTTCAACTTTTTTAATTATTTTTTATATGGATCTTATTTAGATGTTTTCCAACCCACCTGCAAATTTTTGTAACCCAAGACAACATGGATTCCTCAGAGCGACGCGTAGAAGTCAGAAACCAACTTTGCTTCTCTCTGATATAAAACGTTATTGTAAGGCTCATGCACATAGATTCATGATTCCATGATCACACATGACGCTCTTCGTTGGTCCATTGCATTTCTGTTTTGGTTTACGATTTGTCAGCATCAATGTCCTTTTGAACCATTGGAAGGTTTTGACGACCGTCATGAACTTTGCCCCGACTAGCAGTGTTAGCGGTTTAGCTTCGGAATTTTGCACATATATACATGCCTACTATTCGTAGGATATTAGGTATAGGAAATGGAATATAGTTCCATAGGGATCCATGTTTGTACCCCCCCATATTCCATATTTTCTGGATTTTGCGTAAAAAAAACCTTCAAAATTCTGAAAAAGAGCGACAATAAACACGCTAGTAGTTATGAAAGTCTTAGCAAAGCCGACCTATTTTAAATATTGCGAGTTTTATTATTTTTTATAAATAGACTTATAAGCTTACATAGCTTTACTCTTATTACTCTGAGGATTAAAAAATAACTCTTAAGGTCTGATCAAAAAATTACCCAATATTTTTTTTATCAAAAAAATCTTGTCCACTATAAAGTAATCACCTAAGAAATGATACACTTTTTTCAATCCTCCAAACACTTTTCGTATCTTATAAAGATGATCGCACAAATGTTCTTCTTGATTTTCGGTACTATTCCTTAAAGGTGTTACATACACCGAGGATCCATTTCTAACCACTGTTGCCGCACATTAATGCATTTACATTCCGATATTCAAATCCATTGCCTGTCATCTACTTCTCATTTCTTTATTTTGTCTTACTCTTTTTCTATTTGTTTGTAATTTGTTACATTGACATTTCTTTTCGTTTATTATTTATAATTGTCCCGCAGTAATAGTTATGAAATTGATTATGGGGGGCTGGATATTGGATAATGAAAGCGAAAACAAAATTTTGTAAAAAAAGAAAAGAAAAAAAAAAACAATTGAGAAATACCCAAGTCGACAAACGAACAATTTTATTGGCATTATAGAATTGCTACCATTTCTTCTTGTTGTTGTTGCTATTGTTCTGTAGCGCATTTTAATTGATCCCCAATTATAACTGTTGGCGATGATGATGATGAGGACGATGACGACGATATAGGGGTTAGGTTATTGAAACGCTACGAAATAATAAAATTGCTTTGCCAAACACTCAATGGGGCATTATCATCATCGCCATTGTTGTTGTTGCGTTGTTGTCGTCGTCGATGTTATCATGGTCATTATATTCATCATCAGCAGCAATATTATTGTCACCATCTTAACAGAAAAACAACGCCCAACCACTTCATTGATAATTTCGAAATATTTTGAAAACAAAACAAAAAATATTGTTTTTATCGAAATAAGATCCCCACCACTTGACAAATATCTAGATATATTGAATGAAAACTGTTTTTTTATTGGATCAAAGTATTAATCAGTGACCCTTTAATTTCATCGAAATTTATTTAATTATTTTTGAATATAGGGAAATTTATTGGGAAATACCATCAAGTTGTTTGAAGATTGTAAAATAAGATTCATAGACAATTTCATCGGAATATATTTGGATGTCATATATAGATTATATGGACGGTCTTCTTAATAAGATTCCTTAAATGATCATCTATGGATAAGAGGACTTAAAAGAGCAAACATTTTTATACCACCATTAGAAGGTTGGTTTAGTTATATTATATTTATCATGGATATACCACCCATTTTCCACATTTTCTGGGTTTTGCGTAAGTTTTTCGGCAGAATTGGCTATAAATTGGTATTTTGAGTTCTCATTGTTACCATTACCTAAAATTATAAATACTGGCCGATCTTTAGTTATAGTTCCCATATAAAGCTCCAGGCCATTATAGGTATTGGTCCTAAACTCATTTTTCAGCCAAAGTGACCATATTGTGGCAATACGAAGTGGCTGTAATTTGTTATTCTGAGTTCTAGTTGTTCCCATTGCTTAAAATTATAAATATTGACCGATTTGTGGTTATAGCTTCAGGCCGTTATAGTTCACGACGTTATAGTCAACCGAACTGACCATATTTAAACCTCTAAGGGGATTTGCAATCAAACCCAAGAACCAGGGTTGTTGTGATTGGAAAGGTCAGTTATCATATTTGTAAAATACAATAGTTTAGGTACCTTCGATCGGCTAAAATCTTCAAAATTCTGAAAAAGAGCGACAATAAACACGCTAAGAGTTATGAAATGTCTTAGCAAAACCGATCTATTTTAAATATTGCGGGTTTTATTATTTTTTATAAATAGGCTTATATGCTTATATAGCTTTGCTCTAATTACTCTGAGGATTAAAAAATAACTCTTAAGGTCTGATCAAAAAATTAACCAATATTTTTTTATCAAAAAAGATCTTGTCCACTATAAAGTAATCTCCTAAGAAATAATGCACTTTTTTCAATCCTCCAAAAACTTTTCGTATCGCCAACCAACAGCTTCCTTTGCGATTTTTCTTTTATGCCCTCAATAATAGAAAATCACTTTCCTTTCATCGCTGTCTTCAGTTTTGGGAAAAAGCTTACATCCCCTCACATTCAATTTCAATTTATTTATTTGTTCATAGATTCATAGATGGGAACAGGTCATGACCATGATAGGTTCCAAAAACCACTATACATCTACTACTCCAAAATCTTAAACCTAACAATAGATTCATCTTAACATAAAATCTTAAAAACACATGAATAAATAATTAATTTAAATTTTAACATATAATCACAGTTGGGTGTATAAAAAATAACTAAGTAAAATAAATAAGCAAAATAATTAAGTAAATCAGCTATGCAAAACAACACGAAGGGTGTGGTTTGGCTTTTACCGGATTTAAAGAAAAAAAATCATACACCTAATGCACAAAAAGTGATCAAAGGTACTACCCAGAAATTGATTAACATACGGAGAAACCTGAACACGCAGCTTCAACACAAACACAAAACGCATGACTCGATTAAACAAGAGCCTACGTTTGCGTAGGACTAGCCACAACTACCACTAACAATTCCAATACAATACAAAAAGTGTGGCATTATCAGCGCTGGTACCACCTGAATTCTTATATCCCTAGGGAGACCAACATCCAAACAATATAACTTTCTTAAAATAAAGTTAACCTTGGACACTAAAGAACTGACATGAACATCAAACACCAAACCATTATCAAGCAACAAACCAAGGCACTTAATTGAGCTTACAACATCTATAGAGACACTATGGATGGAAACATTTATAGTATTAACTTGGTTTTTGCCAAAAATCATAGTTTTAGTTTTTGGAGTATTTATTGAAAGCCCATTATTCGTTAACCACGTGACTAGCACATTAACATTAAAAAAATCAATTGAAGACTGCAAAACATCCATGAACACATTTTCTCCTTTAAACAATATTTGTATATCATTAGCAAAAGCAAACGACATACAATTCCCACTATTAATACAACTGAACAAATCATTAACATACATTTCGAACAACAGGGGGCCCAGAACAGATCCTTGAGGCACACCACTACTCACAGACAACATACTCGAAACACAATTTTTACAACATACGTATTGCTGCTTTCTACCAAATAAATATTAAAAAAAAAATCAGTATACACACTGAGGTTGAAAAAGTAAAAAAATTGATGCAGCTTACTTACTAGCATTGAGTTATTGATTCTGTCAAATGCCGTTTCAAGGTCCAGCGACAGCAACACACAACAACCATCCCCACCAACTGACTTTCTTATATTGTCAGTTAAACTAACAAGTAGGGACGTGGTACTCCGATGATGCCTAAACCCATATTGTTGACTATCATGGAATAATGATCGCTGGTTGCCATACGCAATAAATTTGCTCTTTCAAAACATTCTCAACCATTTTAGAGAGTATTGGCATTATCGATATCGGCCTATAGTCTCTTACATCATTATTTTTACGTATTGGCACAATTTCCGCTATCTTCCAAACCTCAGGAAAAACTGGCACTGTTATCATGGTATTTACAACATGCAACAAATGACGTCCCACTAAAGGAAACACAAGTTTCGGAAAATGAAGCTGAAAACCATCACATCCTACAGCATTAGACTTAATCTTACTAAACGCATTTACAATTTCAACAAAATTAACATTACGAAACGAAAAACCATCATAAACACCCTCAGGAACACACGAAATATCAACTGGATCATCAACAGATTGATTAGACACAAAATCAAAATTCAGTCGATCAACATCTACACCATCCACTTCATTGACATTCTCTTTTATTCCACTCTTATTCAAAATCACCCATAAATCTAATAACGAACTTCGGAAAAATATCAATATATGAGAATACAACAAAATCGGAATGTCAGGACATAGCCCAAACATACCCAAAATCAAAGCGGTGTTTTTCTACGCAACTATAGATGGCAGCTCCATAATCTGCCGATGATGGCGATGCTTTGTTGAATATCTATTCTCCCAATAGTAGAAATAAATTAATGCAAAATTGTGAATTATTTAAGGAATATTTGTCGGGAACTAGACTAGAACCATAATCGTAGATTTTATGTAATCATGCTTGTACGGTAAGTCTTGATTTAGATTAGGCGAGTTTACTTGCGGCAATTCTTGTCATTCTATTTAGAACTTGCTTCATGCGTCTATACATGGCAATTCGGTTTCCAAAATATTTTTCTATTTGTTGTTTTTTCACATTTAAATATATATAAAATGTCAACAAATACGAAATACATAAAACGAATTGCCAGAAAATTGTCGGTACAAGCAATTTTTTTCATTTCTATTCCCCTTGCCCCTCTCTCCTACAAACAAAGACTTGCCGCAAGTAAACTCACCTAATCTAAATCATGACTAATCGTAGAATTTATAAGAGTTTTTTGTGCCATATTATGAGTTGTTATAGTAGTTAAAACATAAATCGTTATGCTTTAATCCAATAATATTTGTTCCTTATTTGTACTTAATGACATTTTTTTGTCATTTTAGGTTATCCCCATACATAAATTGAACTTTGTCCACTTGCTTGAAACAAATTTTGAAAATTATCTTCTTTAAAATGCATTTAAGTATTTATCTATTTTTCTTGTTTGGGGCTTCCTTTGTTCTACATTTGACCTAATAAACTAATTTTGAAAACAAAAATGTCAATAAACTACAACAAATACTGTCACACACACACACACACACACATAAAATGTAAACAATTAAAAATGCCTTGAGCGGGTGACACATCACCAATCACTCGCATGTGTTCGGTAGCCGGCCGTTTGATAAGAAATTCGAAATTGTAAAACAAATAAAAGACCAAGACGAGGAATTAGTTTATATACGCGTTGAAATTCTGTTAATAGAACGTCAGCGGTCTCCTCATTGAGCCGGCAATGATTGGAAAATTAGAACATTAGTCACTTCAGTTTATTATTTCATCTCATTAAGAATAATATTCGATATCAATTATGAATTAAATTCTGCACCCGCAATGCTGTGTAGAATCATAGATGTATTTATGTTTTGTTTCCTGGTGATAGTGGGGCTATTGATAGAATAGTTAACATATTGCATTTCCCTATAATGATGACTAATATTTCAAGTCATAAACCTAGTTCTGGGGTTTAATTGTTAAACAGTCGGTGAGTTTTTTTTTCTCGGAGGAAGATTGCCTTTCAGAAAGTCTTCTCAATAGGTCCTCCGCCAAGACATTCTAAACTCGCCCCTTTCCTTCCTTCGCCCTGGTTCATGATGTCAAACATCTGTTATCTTCGGTCAAAATTTCTGATTGGTTGGAAGTCTCTTGGTATATATTTACCATTGTATCTGGGCTACTCTCAGCTTTCTTCCCGAGGGTGGATGACTTGAGCAACCTTTGTAGGTGTACCTTTTCCGTTTAAATGCAGTCGGTATCCTAACTGCAAACCATTAAACTTGACAGGCACGATGCCGCGTAACTTTACAGATTTGAGGAGGCTCAACCCTGAGGACAGGAGACTTGGAACCGTAAAACACAGACAAAAGTGAGACCACCTAACACTCCAGGGTAGAGGAGTTCACTTTATTAAGTATTGGAAGTTATTCAGGGGCACCAATATTGTATGGGTGATATCCATATACTCAGTAATTCTCCTCAAGACCCATAGACAGTACATTTGTGGCAGAGTAAAATATGAAGAAATATTTTCGCCCATCTTGGAGGTTACTACCGTTTTGGTAGACTCTTCAGGGGATTTATGGGAGAAATTTTGATTTTCCATTTTCTATAGCCAAATTTGAATGTTTCTAAAGTTTGAATGATGTATTCCGAGGCTATTGAAATGGACAATATCGTTTCGCAGACTTTGATTAATTTTAATAATTGTTGAGAAATTTTGTTAAACCAATTTGATAACAAATTGAAAATTCGGGTACTCGGAGTATAATTATTTCATACTATTTTTTGTTTTCTGATTAAATATATAAAAAATATATGTTCTAATTAAAATTATAAAATCTATTCCATTTTTTTCCAGACAACAATGTCCACGTTGATAGCACTGGAATGCAGGCCAGTGAATATGGCACAGGCAACAACAACACTATGCAACCATGTGAATCTATTACAAATCTCAACGAAGAGAATTCACAACAACAACTTATTGAAAATGTTGGACAAGATTATCAACAACAACCAATACAACCAGCTGAAACCTCCACAGCTCCCATACAAATGGATAATTACAACAATACTGGAAACAATAATAAAAATCTTATGACCGATGTCCATGAATTGCAGGATAATGTGACAAAACAGACACATATTATAACAAACACCACAACAACAACAGTAACCAATGTCGATGTGGCAATTGAAACCAATACCATGCAACAGAATATCGTTCAACAGCAACAGATGTCACAAACCTTTGTGGCCGCCACGCAAACTCAAAGTGTTCCTCAGCAACAAGTGCAACCTCAACAACAAACACAAAATTATAAACAACAACACCAACAACAATATCAACATCAACAATTACAAACCCAACAACCTCAACAGCAGACACAATCACAGTCAAATCAGCACCACCAGCAGCAACATCATCATTCACAACAACAACAATCACATTATCATAACTATGATAATCGCAAATCCTCACAGTCGTCGTATGGCGGCAATCAACAGCAACAACAACAATCAAGACGCAACAAATACGATCATCACAATGATCAGCAGCAACATCAGGGACAACAACATCAGCAGCAGCAACAACCAACAACGAAAACCATGTCCTGGACCAATTCTTCACAACACAAGAAATCCACCAACACTGTGGCTGTCACAGCAACACCCTCATCGTCTCACAATCCAGGATACAACAAACAATCAAACTCCTCGATCAATTCGTCGTCTACCTCTACCCATAGTCATGGCACCCGAACCTATACCAATCAACAGCATCATAGTTATCAGCAACAACAACAAACCACTCAGACCCGTAATTATGGAGCCATGAAAATGCCTTCTTCTCCTGTGGCCACGGGCCCGGGAGCAACAAATTCCTCCAACACAGAACGTAAACATAGCCAGTCCAGTGATCATGCCGGCGGCAATAAGCCACATCAGGCCACCGCTTCGACAACAGCAACGCCACATCAATTTCAACAATCATCGGCAACAAATGAGGGTGGCAATGCGGCTGCCAGCAAACAACAAAGGAAACAAAGTCTTGTGCAGCAGCAACAGCAACAAGTAGCTGCCGCCAGCCCCAACACAACGACTGGCACCAATACTACCCCCTCAGCCACAACAAATGACACCAGTACACCACCCATAAATTTGGCACCACCGGCATCATCATCTGCCCAGGCTGCACCCTCAACACCATCATGGGCTAGTCTTTTTACAGCAAGTGCCTCTCCGGCTGCCTCGGCCAGTCCATCCACAGCTGCAGCAAATCAAAACTCTACACCCAACAACAACACACTCAGCAACACCACCAGTTCAGCATCCACCAACACCACTGCCAATTATGCACAGAAACCCATTGCAAAAGTTGCTCCCTTTGAGAGTGTAGCTTCTACGGCCACACCGGTCGTAACTCCAGGTGCCTTGTCATATTCAGCTGCTTCAGCTCAAAATTTACCAACACCACCGTCCTCGACCACCAACAACAATAACAACAGCAATTCATCTGCCATGGCTGCTGGTGCAGCTGGCGGATCCCGGAAGATCACAAATTTGGCCAATCTCGATGAATATTCATTGAAATTTGCCGAGTTCCTAACCAAATATAAAAGTGATTGGACCACAATCAGTCTGAGACCCAGAGGCCTTACAAATCGTTCGAATTATTGCTACATTAATTCGATATTGCAAGCATTGCTTGGCTGTTCGCCGCTATACAATTTGATGCGATCCATACCGAAACAGGCGGCTAATTTGTGTGAAGTGAAGACGCCAACTGTTAATGAAATATTTTCGCCCATCTTCGAGGGTACTACCGTTTTGGTAGGCTCTTTAGGGGATTTATGGGAGAAACTATTGATTTTGCATTTTCTATAGCCAAATTTTGGAATGTTTCTAAAGGTTTGATGATGTGTTCCGAGGCTATTGAAATGGACAATATCATGTGGACAGACTTAGGTTATAACACATTCCCTCCAATAATAACATGAAGTATATATCTTAATTGTCCACAAAGTATCACAGATTTTGTGTAAATTTCATAATTGTTTTTTAAATTTTATAAAGTAATTCGACCTCTAAATGAAAATTGAAAGATTCTCTCATAACTCTTCGTATTTATAAAATATAAACATTTTATATTTACTTTCTTTTAGGATGTCATTCATGTCGA